GACAGCGTCCCGGTCGGGGTTCAGGGGGCGAAGAAATTGAAATTTAGAGCTTTTAGAGGGTTGAAAATGGCATTTGGGAGCCTGTTTGAAGAGATGGCCTACAGCCCATAACATTTATTTTTTCACCAACATCTTGTCTTGTTTGATTTCTTCACCAACATATCTGTCCATTGCAGGCAATGTTTAAAAGCAGGTTCCCCTTTCATTGCTACTATAATTCAATTAATTTGTCGTTGCACCATTGATAGCAGGCAAACCTGGGAATAATGAATAGATGTACCTTCAAAATACAGTTTCACAGCGTATACCCAAATTTGTTCTCAATTTTCACGTCTGAATGTCGCCTGTCACAACCTCGGAACACCACTTCAAATTATTTTTTATTTTACCTACGGCTGGATCGGGCCAATCGCCTGAAACTGAAAACAAACACATTTGTTTTTGAGGCGACCAAGTCGGGCGAATAGCATGATCGGTCGATCCCATCCATAGCGGGCACCCCCGTATCAGCATATATTTCTTTCATCGCGGCCCTTATTGCGTTCACGTGCCGTAGAATCTTCGCATTAACTCTAGATCTAGACAAATTTGTAAAAAAAAGTTTCTTTCTGACAGTAATTTTCTGTCTAAGATCACAAGTCAATTTACTTGATCAACGCGCAGATTTCCCAGCCGCGGCAACAATCCGAAGATAGACAGAAGGAACGAGTGAATGATAAAAAGGAGGAAATTGGCACAAAAGTTTCGCCAGATTTTGATCCATCTGCAGGTAAAAAATGCACTGCCGACCAACCCGCAATGAATGTGTGGGACATAGCGGAATAATGGCCGATTGCAGGAAATGTGCAATCTGGCAGGTTTCTATAATTTTAACTTGTGGCCGAGAGAATTACCGTAAATATCCGTAACTTATACAAGACGACACGAAGGTGAGTACGGCATTTCGGCAGTCCTGCGCTGTCGCAGTTTTTTTTACGGAGGGAGTAGATAATGATGGAGGAACAAGTATGGAACTGGCAGAAAGTACGGATTTCCGTAAAAATACGAAAGTGGAAGCATTGGAGAGAGAGACAGAGAGAGAGAGAGAGAGATAAGAGAGAAACAGAGAGAGAGAGAGAGAGAGAGAGAGAGAGAGAGAGAGAGAGAGAGAGAGAGAGAGAGAGAGAGAGAGAGAGAGAGAACTTGGGGAGTTTCCATACCTTTGCTGGAGACAGTCCTATACTGTAGACAAGCTTGCTGTCTGTGTCCAGCTCCGTCTTGATTTGCTGCTGCTGCTGAGGGCTGAGCACACTCTTGAAAGCCTTGGCCATGAGGCGTCGAACCTCCACCACCGTGGACGTGTTCATACACATGGTCGTGTCCCATGCCACGTTGAATTCAGTGTCCGTTGGCATCATCCACACCATCTGGAAATGACCAGCCGGGGGGGGGGGGGGCAAAATGTTTTTGTTTTTTATATAGTAGAGAGTTTTACGGCCCTCGCAACTGCATTAGGTCATATGAGCACCAAGGGGTGGATGTCAACAGAGAAGTCTTTACAGGGAATCAGACTTACTCTGCTCACCTCTCTAGCTTCAACAGCACAAGGTCTACTTCAACTATCAAGGCACCCCGGAATAGCAGGTCACAAGAAAGTGACAAACATACAAAAGAAGCAGAGGAAAATGACAATAGTAAGGATCAGGAAAGAAAAAGCAGCAGTTCCCTGTTGAAGATCAGGCAGTTATGAGCGTGACATGAATCAGCCCATTTAAAATTCTTCTGTGCTTGAACGAGAAATGTCCCCCCTTTGGGAATGGCCTAGAGACACTACAGTCAGTGGCACAGCCCCGGGGGGAAGCAAAATGTTTACTTTCTCTAAAACAAATATATGTGAGGCATCATGATGAAGTCAGGCGCTCATCAAAATAATGAAATCGAAGGAATCTGCATTTTTTCGGCAGTTTGATCATCTATATCACATTTCTTTTTTGTTGTCTGGCTCAGCGCCTTCTTTGTCCATTTAAAAACACATTTCTGTGTGGGTCTTACAGAAAAACGATGATTAAAGGCACAAAAATGTAAATGTTCAGTTTCTAAGGATTCTCAATCTATGGAATTCACCAAACTTTGGCGGCCATTTTCTTGCATATTTTAATTTTGAAACTGGGCTACCCCCACATCCTTCAATAGCAAATATCTCGACTTATATTCGAGACAGGGGGGTATTTTTTTTTCTCATCGAAATCATGAAAAGTGAACAAGTCTTAAGACGATACCAGTAACCCCACATGCCCAAAAACCACCTGATTCCACCGCGATGTGACACATACAGTCAAGATTTTCCATGACAGCCATCCATTATTGAGGAAAAAAGTGTCAGACAAGTGAACATCTTGAACAGTGCAATCATAATATTTTTAAAACGCAAAAGGGAAGAGATCATTTGTACAGAAGATTATCTTTAACAGGTGAGGAAGGTTCAACTGTAATTGCAAATGTTTTGCTCCCATATTGACATAATTAACATCATTATAAGAGGCAGGTTCCTCAACCGACCTGTCAGGGCCAACCCAGGCTGAAGTGGGGGGTACAGCATCCCAGCAGACAGGTGGGCACGCTCAATAAAGAATTTTAAAAACCTCCCTACAAAGGTAATCAAAATGAAACTAAAATTGTATGGAACACAAGCATTAACTGTAATCATTTTGGGTATGTAGGAGAAAATTTTTCAACAGTCTTGACAGCTGTGACAAAACCTCCCAAAAGTAGGAATCTTGAGTGCTCAGCTCACGAAATGGTAACAACAGCTCTTTAAATCTGCAGTGTGAGCTCTTAGTAAACATGTAACATCTCTGCTTGTGTCATTGCATGTGTTTACAGCATCAGCATTGTCCCTTCTCTTGGTCTCCACTGAGAGCAGGACCAACTACGGGGTGACACCCGTTACTATTCCTAGTAAAACGTGAGATTTAAATTGCATGCAATCTCCCCCCCCCCTCTGCAATTTCCTATGCCTCCCGAAGATCTCAATAGAGCAAGGACAAACCTCATCCTCTGCTATGTGGAGGGGTGGTGCCAGTCGTAGAAACTCAGGCCTGAGTGTGTGGTCCACGGCACACTTCGGACCGGTCAGCAAAGACTCCACCGTCTGTCTCTGAATATCTGGATTGATCTTGTTGGGTTTCCCAAATTGTTCAAAGCTGAAATTAAGAGGCCTGCATTTCTCACAAAATGACACATTTACATGTATGCCGAATAAAAAACTGTTACAGGTGTGTTTTACTTTGTCTTCAATATTGGTGCTCGGAATAAAGAAGGCAATGTAAAACACAGGATGAGATTATAATATTATACAGTACAAGTGCTATGAATGTGATCAGTAGTGCCAATTCAGCATTCCCCCCCAAATCATGTAACTAAAAGAAATAAGCCAAACTTTTTGGTTCTAAAAACTAATACTGAGGTTGATCAGCCAGTCCTCAATAATAAAAATCCGATGTCATCATTTACTTCAAACAGTACATAAATACTGTGGGCTTCTCTCTTCATTTAAATAGCAGGATTATTTTTTGTAGGCTGAAAGATTTTTTTTTTAAACCAGCTACAATCTAGCATACACACAACAAAATTGGCAGAACGCAGAAATCTTTTTATTTTATTAATACAAATGTTCTAAATACAAAAGAATATATACATAAGAAAAAAAATTTGGGACCTGAAAATCTGCTCGCTTTGTGCATGTTGGCTATGTACGTGTTTCCTGTGTGCCTGCCAGACTGTACACAGTTTGAGCATAACACCATATATAAGCGAGCACCATTCTGTACATGCTTTGAGCATAACATCATGGATAACCGCCATTTTTCCCACTGACCTGGTAGGTTTTGTTTCCGGGTCAGCTACAACGCAGCTCATGGCCATTTTACTGGTGTGTGGCATCTCCGACTGTCTCTGCACGATAAACAGCTGTGTCTGGCTGATGTCCACCGGGGCTTTCCCCGACACATCCATGTGGAGGATCTGAGCAGCTGTATTCTTCAACATCTGACGAGCAACAAAGACATTTTTTGAGTACATGTTTTTTTCAAAGATTATCTACACCAGTATCTGAGGTGTTGTGGTTAAGCGCTTTGCTGTCTCTTGCAGGAAACCCAAATTCAATTCCGGAGAGGAGAGAATTTTTATGGAGTATCTCAGTCTCTCCGCTGGAATGTTGTTTCCCTTTCAACCCAGGTTGGCCCTGACAGGGAGGGTCGAAGCCCGCCTTTTATGTGATCTACATTGTGCGGATAGAAGTGTACATAACACCTATATTAAAGATTATCAAAATATATCTATAACTACTCTACTACAACACTAAGAACATTTCAAACAAAAACAAAAGGATGGTAAGCATTTCAAATGCGTTCTCAGGTAAAGTTAGCCCCACCTATATCCCACGCCCAATACTCATTAGAAATTACCTTGAGTTTGGGCAATGTGAAGATAATTATCACTCTTCCCCTGCATTTTCATTGTTGGTGGTTGGAGGGCACCACTGGTAGGTCCTACTTCTCTTCTTTCCCTCCATACTTTCAGTTAATATGTTCTACTTCTTCCCAGCTCCAAACAAACATGTTATTCTGTTGATGTATTTCTCTTTACAGAAGAAAACAATTCATTTTCATAAACTCAAAATTACAAACTTCAATTCCACTACACGTAAAGTAAAGACAGCAGAAGCCCTAATCCTGGACAATAAAGAAAACAATAAAATTTCATCAGCAGTTTAAACCATTATTTTACTTTTACTCAATACTCTGCAAGATGAAATATTCATATGCTGTCAAAAAGAGGAACAACATGCGTACTGATCTTCACTCGGGACGCTCCCAAAAAAAATGCCACTCGCTTATCTACCCTCACAAGATTCAAATTTCCTTTTTCAAATTTTTTTTTCTGAATTCAAAACATACTTCTGTGAAAAATGTATCTCAACCAAAGCTCAAGACATTAAACTAGAAGAAAACGTCAGCAACAGGATTTTGATCAAAGTAGTCTCTGACACCTTTTGAGCCCTGTACGAGAAAATCGCACAGTGCATTTTTCGTCCCATTCCACTACAACATATCTCTCCCAAAAGGCAGCCAATGATCAGCATTCATCGGTCACTATATATTCCAATTTTCCTACCTCTTTAGACGTTCCAGAGATCAAATTTGACAGGAAATATCTCTCTGGAGCAGAGACGGGAGGAATGGTCGAATGCATGTCGTAGGGATTCTGTTCTTTCCTCTCTGAAGGATCTTGCTGCAAAGAAAGAGGAACATTTAACATCAACAAGAAACTTTAACAGAATCTACATGAAAGTGTGTACACAGAACAGATTTTTAAAATAGAACTGATGACATTGTCCTCACTCAAATCTTTAAACCAAAAATATTTCGCCCAAGTCCATGACAAGAGGTTACCTCAAAGTTCAAAGAGTACGTTATCTGCAATCAGAATGAGGACAAGCCAATACCACATTATCATTAACTTTGCGGTCTAGTATAACCCCTCCATAAACAAAACATATGATGTGACATCGTATAATTATATGAACACTATTTCAGAAAGCATCACTCTGTCAGATATAACTACCTCTCATAATGACCACCAAGTGAGAGATGTCCCCAGCATGTAATGTTTGGAAACATTTTGACTGCTATAATATCCCCGCTCCTTACACTAGACTATTAAATAATAACAATGAAAATGAATACCAGAGACAATATTATTATCAAGGAATCTAACCAGTCGAAACTTACAAGCAAGTTGAGGAATACGGTAGCAAAAGGGTTGGCAGCAACAGCGTCCGACTTGTACATTTCATACAGAATAAAGATGGCCGCCAACTTCTGAGCGGGGTGGGGCAGCAAGTCACGATGCTGTAACAACAACACCTGAAGAAAAAAAAATCTATTAAGTGAACTAAATTACAAAACTGCTTTATCTCCATTTCAATTTCTAAAAAAAACAAAGTAATTGCTACTCTTTTTTATGTGAAGTAATGAAGTAATAAAAGTGTGAACTGGCCGATGCATTTATTTCCCCCAAACATCGCACTCATATCCAAGCTCTCCACCTAAACTTACATCACACTTTGGGTGGGTAGGACCTACAAGTTAGCTCCAAGCCGGATCATATTGAACTGTGAACTCTTCCCTAACCATAGCAACAGTTGTCTCTACTCCCTAATTTGTGAGACAGACTGAATTTTAATTGATGTGGTCACAATGTAATAGTGTGTAACGAAAAAAGGCGGGGGAACTCGGTCAGTGATGGAAAGCTAACATTTTTGACAGGTAAAGGGGAGGGGCAACTGGATAAGTGTAGATTTTGAGACTCACGATGGGATAATGACATGCCTTATGCCACTGTGACAGGTCATCAAGGTTGACCACTCTTTGCTCGCCGTATATCATAAAACCACCAAGGGGTCACGTCAATTCATTTTAGAGTAAAAGGGAGACCATTTTACCGGCTGTGAGCCTTAACATGGGTCCCCGTAGATTTTTCCATTGGTGTGTCGGGTAAGATCCCGTTCGCCTTGGATCCTGCATTTTCCTTGCTCCCCAGCACCGGGATCTTAGACGGAGACTAATGTATTCTGCCCATCCCTAGTGCCGACAATCAAAGCACACTTACAATGGCTTGTCCCACTTTGAAATTATCCTGCTTGTTTGTGAAGTAATGGTGGAACGTGTTGGCCAAACTCTCAAATGTCTGGGCCTGGGTGGCATCCTCCGACAATACGCTGTGGAGAAAAAGACTTTTTTTAAAGACATTCTCATCATCAAACAACAGACCAGATTCTTTTAGGCAGATTTCAATGGGCTCAACTCAGCTCCTACCTGTTGACATCCCTTGATCAAAATTAAATAATGGTAGATGATGCTGATGCCCAAGAAGAGACCTATATATAGAGAGAGGTTAGCTTTAAAAAATATATATGCAGGTAGTATGCATGCATGTCTGAGAGAGAGTCTGAGTAGTGTATACTCTATTATAGCTAGGTGGGAGCGGGTGAGAGGTGTGTGGTTTAGGGGTGGCAGTTACCCCATAAGCTCTGACCAGTGAAGATGGTTAGAGTAATGTAGGTGTGAAATCTCACCACAGCTTGTGAAAGTGCTCCAGTGGTGAATTTAATTTGGCCACTACCTGCACCCCTGACCAGTCAAGAAAAAAGGTTCTTTGAATCGTTGACAAGTAGATGGAGGGATGGCACTGGTCTTGGTTGATTCTATTTAACATCAATGGGTTGGGAAAAGAAAACAACGTTCAATCATTTCTATTTTCTATTACTCCAAGAGTGGTCCTATGAAATGCAAGCACAGGTGGCAATGGATAACTTCAATTATTAAACCCAACTCATGCCATTTCAGAGAGAGGCTAGTGTAGCACTCAGAACTCAGGTGTGAAGTCGTGATCACTGCTTGCCAAACTGACAAGTGACCCTTGAGCATGCCATGAAAGAGCTGGGCTCTCTAGAACGCC